CTTCTGTACCTGTTTAGTGAAGCACATACTTTTTTCAGTTAATTTCAATGAGAATTTTGCCTGCATAGGAAAACATGCTGATGCCGTGAAAAGCCGGAATTGAAGACTCAATAGTCGGCAGACTATTCAGCAGGTATTCTTTATTGCGGTGCCGGGCACACGGGGGATCTCTCCTCCAAAAGTGTGCACCGAAGAGACACAGTTACTAGGTATTTATGCTATGTTAACATACATATTCATTACATTTCCAAGAAATGTTTATCATAGTAATGGCTTTTCCAAGAATTCATTAATATATGGTAATGTCCGTCACACATGTTTGTTTGGCGTCTCTCGGCAGGGGTCTTCAGATTATCCTGCAGCCTCCTTATCTCTGTAGTTTGCATACCTGTTCTCCCAAGGCCCAGGCGCCTAAAGGGATTATTCAGGAGTCCCTTGTCTTGCAACCGTCCCAATTATTCACAAAGAGCCAAGACTTGTTTTGGTTGTGCAATGATTCTGACCACCTGAAGTGATATCATCCCCTACATGTTACATTTGTTACATTTACAGTTATCAATCCCTCCTTTTCTTTTGAGGATTTGTAGCTAGAAAGCTATGAATCCTCACTATTCTATTTTGTAGGTATTATTTTCAAATAATTCTATTTGGTGCCTAATCTTATTCCTTTTTCCAATCACTGTGTGTCTCAACTGAATCCCAACAACACCAAAGGAGACATTTGAGAGACATGCAAACAAGTATTCCTAAAACGACCAGTGTGATCATTCCCATGAACAATTGTTTCAATCACTCTAAATTGGGGAGCCAAGAGGTTAAATTTTGTTCCCCTACTTACAAGTGGGTTGTCTTCCCGTTTGGCTTGTCTCCATGATGTTCTCAATATGCCTTTAGGTATTTGGGACCGATTATATATTCGGTCCTGGCTGACTAGATGACCTATGGTACACATTCCCTTCCAACCCGCAGGGAGTCGCTTTCTGCTAATGCCATCACCACATAGCCACCAATAAGTGTTGTGTAATTTACAGGGCCCGTCAGTGGCTGTGAGATTAGCTCTGCAAAATGCCCCGCGGTTTACCCAGCCAACCGGTACACCCCTAAAACAATCCCAGCCCGAGGGGCCACAGGCCTCCAATTGGGTTCTGCTACAAAAATCCACATACATCGCGCCTGTCCCTTTCAAATCCCAAGTTCCTACTTCTACTGTAGTTTTGTTGATCAAATAATCATTCCACCCATCTCTGCAAGTACAATTTTTGTGTGTATGGAAGGGGGTCAGCACGAACAAGTGTTGGATCTTGCTTTCCATAGGCAGCTATTATTGCTGACCAATATCTGGGAGTTGTTATCTAATATCTGTAGGTCACATCTTGGTCCAGTCATGTAGTTCGAGTTGTCATGATCGCAGTATCCTAAAAAGCCTAGGTTTAACAAAGTTCCCGCCGCAATCATAGTTTCAAACTGCCAGCCTTTTCGACCATCCATCCTGGTTTAGGAGCCTTCTTCACT